AACTTTTGTCCTTGTTTTGGTCAGAGGAACCCGCCCACACATTTTATAATAGTATTTTTGATACACCCTGTATATATGAGAGAGTGAGTGTAGGGCGTTGCCAAGTGGTTATAAATTTAGCTTTCCGACGGTAGTCGATTTGAAGCGGACTTCTTGATACTATCGACTGCGGGTGACATGCCAAGAGTTCGAAAGTTGGAAGGAGTTTGAGAACAGAACCATACCACTGGTTGTGGATGAAATGGATAAATAAAGACGTCGATGGTTGTGAGGGTCATAGTAACCGAAAGTTTGTGCGTACTGGCCCGGTCCAATTACTGATCACGCCAAAGTGTAGACTCTTTCAGAAATTAATTAATTACTGTCAGCACAGTATCAACTACAGATTGATACTGTTAAAGAAACACACATGCGCATGAGTAGGCATCTGCATTGCAACAAAATCCCTATTGCAGACGCCTGCTCTGGCACATTTGTGTTTCTTCAGCACTCACATATCCAACCAGCAGATGAAATGAGAACAAAATTTATATATATATATATATATATATATATATATATATATAAAATGACTAGCCATCCGTATCTGAGGATGCCCGTCTACTAATGTGGCTAGTCAATCCCTGTTGTAGACGCCTGCTCTGGCACATTTGAGTTTCTTCAGCACCCACATATCCAATCAGCAGATGAAACAAAAACAAATTATTATATATATATATATATATATATATATATATATATATATATATATATATATATATTAGGCAGCATATATTTATATACAAAGAAATAATCACGCATAAAATCAAGTAGCAATATTAATGCTATTATTGGCGACATCCATCGCTAGTAAGTGTATAATGTATGCATTAAAATACTGTTAATCCATAGAATGATGTCATCCTCATTTATAAAACTGTTGTCTGTTGTTTCCAGTTTATATTTTTTAAAATGCAAGTACTTTCGAATAATCCTTTATTCATCGTCAGGCATATCTTTTACTTATAAAATCAAAAACTTGGAGACGAAATAATTGTTTGTAGAACGAAAGATGTTTTTTTGAGAATCTGCTATTCTTGACGGTTGTCTACAATATCGGAACGTGCAAAGACGCAACTTAAGTTTTTCAAAATTTTAAGTAAGAATTTTTATTTGAACTTTTTTTTGTGATGTGGTAAATCCACGTATTCTATTTTTACAAGTGTTTTCAGTTAATATGTCATGAACTAAGTATATCGTTCAATTAATATAGTGTTATGTCTTAGTAGTTTTTTTAAGGAATTTTTTTGTACTGCGGATCGATATTTTTTTATAAACATAAAACATTATGCAGCATATAATTTATATACAAAGAAATAATCACGCATAGAATCAATCAGCAATATTAATGCTATTATTATCCATCGTTAGTAGTGTATAATGTATAATTCTATGTATTAACAGTATTTTAATGCATACATTATATTCTACTAGCGATGTGATATCGCCAATAATAGCAATAATATTGCTGATTGATTCTATGCGTGATTATTTCTTTGTATATATATATATATATATATATATATATATATTGTTATATTTTTTTGCAAATATATATATATATATAATATCTAGCTACTCGTATCTGAGGATGCCCGTCTACTGGTGTGGCTAGCCAATCCTTGTTCAATACCCACAGTACCCAGCTATTTATACTACAATTATGTTGATTGGACCTTGGTTACAGTTTCTGGGAGATAGCAATTTATCTAGCGTGATGAACAGTCCGAACTATGTCAGCATGCACAAACCCTCGGTCCCGATTACTTTTGATGGCTCCCAAAGAGTTCTGTCTACCCAATTTCACTCCCAAGGCTTGGATCAATCCGTGGTATGGTTTTCAGGCACTTTCCAAAGGTGCCACATACTGGGGATCACCTCCCCGATAACATCAAGAAGTCAAATCGACCATGCTGAGATTCGAACTAGGAACTCGTGGTCATAAAACGAACGTTCCAAGTCGGACACGTGCGTATATATCTATATATATTCATATATACATGCAGAGAGAGAGAGAGAGTGAGAGAGTGATAGAGAGGAAGAGAGAGTGAGATTGAGACAGAGGGAGAGAGCGAAAGAGAGAGAAAAAGATAAAGAGAGTGTGAGAGAGGGAGAGAGAGAAAGAAAGAAAGAGAGGAGAGAGGGGGGAATACTTAAAATTGTGAGCGAATATTGCATTAAGAATTTCTTGAGAATAACAATATGAAAGCAAAGGAAATATTTGTCGCAGATTAATTCCACAACGCAGAGAACAAGTCACCATAAGTTCAGACTCGAATATCGGGGGCAGAAAGAAATGCCTAAAACTCGATTCGTAGGTACTATCTTACAAATCACAATGCACGTAACCAGTCAGAAAAATAACTCACTTTCCGACGAACGTGGTAGCCAAAATGCACGAATCTTCCTCTTGATTCGAGAACACCAACTGCTTTTATCGGCCGAACATTGTTTCCATTCGTCGACAACTGGGAGAGGACGCCCAATTTTTGCATATCAAGATACTTTTACAGCGACTCCTGCGACGACTTGTTTTTTAATTTACATATTCCGTCTTCAGCATGTCAAGCGGTATATGTGCCCTTTTTTTTTTTTTTGGTAAGTAATTTTCTTTTTCGCTACATTTTCCGTCGTAGCATACACGCGACGCGCTGTCGCTTGGTTTGACGAGGTAAGTTGCCATTTTCTTCGCTATACAATGATTCAGAAGATACACATTCTGCTATTTAACCCATAGCTTGGAGGAGAAAATATTAACTAAGTAGATACATCAATACAGTCTGACATCATTTACGCCACACGCCCACAAACACACAAAAGACAGGTTTTGATCCTTATACAGTGTAACCCGGATATAAGAGAGTTGTCGGGACCGGGAGAAGTCTCTTATATCCGGGTTTCTCTTATATACGGGTTTGGTCTATTTTATATACATTAACACAGGCTCTAATTAGGGACCAGAAAAAATCTCTCTTATATCCGGGTTTCTCTTATATCAGGGTCTCTTATATCCGGGTTTACTCTTGGAATTTTGAATGCGTTAAGGGTAGAAGTGAAGGAGATTGAAGGCCACATTTAGATATTAGGGAATGCCCTCAATCAGAGACCATCCGAGCGGATTGGGTTGTTCGACCGGAAAGTATTTTTTGAACTCGATTCCATCTGCAGATTTATCTGCTGCTTTGATCAAAACCTATAACTATGACGCGCACATTTGGCAGCGCTGCTGCAAGTTCGACTTCTTTAAGCGTGTAAACCGTTTCTGGGCAGTTCTTTCTGGAATAGCCGCCTTTTCCGGACAGAGCTTTGGGACACTGTTTGCAAACGAAGAGAAGCAGGCATGAAAAAAGTTCATTTTTGCTTACTTGGTTCTTCATCGTCACATCGGCGATAACGAGAAGGAAGAAGAGAGCTACAAAAATAACATAGAACGCTATGGTAAAAATATTTTGCAAGTTTATCAAAATCTATCACCATATGACATCATATTTGGCTGTGATGCATCTGACTCGTATACACTTATCAAGCTTGATGTCATGATGGGTACATTGGGCTTTATATATATATATATATATATATGGACATGTATATATATATATATATATATATATATATATATATATATGTATATATAGAGAGAGAGATGTACATATATATATATATATGTCGAATATGTGGTGCAGTTCAATTTATATTACAATGAATAATTCATACAAAAAGTAGATTAGTAAAGTTAATGATATAAAATGGCGAAATCCTTTCGCAAACAAAATTTTAAAGTTGCTTTAACCTACGAATCACTCTATGAATGTTATGATCCTTGTTTTTAATAACTACAAGCAGTATAAGGTCTTTTTTTTAATCTGCAAGTACTTTCAACTATACATTCAGTCATCCTCAGGCATGGAAATTATTTTGTTTTTAGTAAAATCCAGGTAGCATCCGAGACGAAAAACTTAAATGGGAATCGAAATATGTTTTTTTTTTTTTCTTTTTTTTAATGTGTTATTGTAAACGGAAACAAAGTTTTGGAGCGTGCAGTGCGTGCGTTTTTTACTCCCATCATTGGTTGATAACTGACTTGGAGTGACTTGTCAGTTTAGTATGCTTACCCTCAATAGAATATAGTAATATACTAAATAATATCATAATACTTTAAATTTTCCTTCTCTCTCAGTTTTACAACTGTCCTGGGTATGATGATAAACTACATTTGGCAGCAAGGCCTCTGATCTGCAGGTTTTGAGGAGCGTGGAACCTCCCCTTAATGGCCGTTGTTCTCCTCTGCCTTGACCTGTGGTGGTAGCACCTGTTAGGGTTCCAACAATGAGCAAATAGTTACCCCCAAAAAAAAAACTGGGGTCAAAACACTATAAAAGTATGAAAATACCAGCAATTTTGTAAAAAGAAATTACTCTTGCTCGCAAGAAAATTAAATTTTGGCATTAAATGACCCATTAGCAGTTGTTATGCCGCCTCCATTTGTCTCAAAAAAATACTAGCAATACATTTTCATAGTAAAAAATATTACCAGTAATAGATTTTAGTAAGAAAAAACAAAATGTTACTAGCAATACATTTGTCAAGGAAATTACTCATTTTTCAAAGAAAATTCAATTTCATGATTAAATGACCCATAAGTTGTTGATATGCCACTAAAAAAAACTGACTTAATTTAAAAAATGACTGTTGCATCTTCAAATTGTTTTAGTTTCTTGTATTTGTTGTTTTTATATTCATTTCTTTTTCTCTGCAGCTCCCCCTCCCCTGGACAAAAGAGAAAAATTCACCATTTTTATATTTTGAATTTTAAAATTATCTCCCCTTGTTTTGTTTTTTCAGAAAGCACGAACAACGTCAAAAGAAGCCAAAGGAAATAAACAAAAGCAAAATTACAATACGTGATGCATAAGTAAAAAAAAAACAAAATTCTTTCATTTTTTTTCAATGTCGAAGGCTTACAGCCACATCACATAGAAGCACCAGTTTCCATATGATCACCAAAGTTAAACAATATTGAACCTGGTCAGTACCTAGATGGGTAACCACTTGAGAATACCAGGTGTTGTAAGCTTGGATGTGCAGGTGGTGTAAATAGATAATGGTTTGGAATTGTCAATCGGAGAACTGAGTTCCAGTTACCTTTGGATTTGTTATATTCATTTACACTTAATTAGTATGACTTGTATCACTAAACAATTATCTCTATAAACAAAAATTCTTAGAATCTAAAAATATTTTCTGGCTTTAAATAACCTGCAATGGGTTGATAAGCCGTAGAAAACGAATTAATCAATCAATGAAATACTGATTAGCTACACAGGCATGTCTTTTAGATTTATTTACATTCTCTGAAATAGAAATGTATAGAAAGTACCGTGACCACAAAGTGAGGGATCAGTTTATATGCTGAACTAAATATAAAATTGATCCCTCACTTTATATCCACATTATAATTTCTTGTTTGTTGAGAAGCCATAGAAAACGAACCAGTCAATCAGTAAAATACTGATTAGCTACACAGGCATGTCTTTTAGATTTATTTACATTCTCTGGAATATAAATGTATAGAAAGTACCGTTGCCGCAAAGTGAGGGATCAGTTTATATATAGATTTAAATATAGAACTGATCCCCCACTTTATATCCACATTATAATTTCTTGTTTGTTGATAAGCCGTAGAAAACGAATCAATCAATGAATAAAATACTGATTAGCTACACAGGCATATCTTTTAGTTTTATTTACATTCTCGGGAATATAAATAGATGGAAACTACCGTGGTCAAAAACTGAGGGATCAGTTTATATATATATCTTAATATAGAATTGATCCCCCACTTTATGTTCACATTATAATTTCTTGTTTGTTGATAAGCCGTAGAAAACGAATCAATTAATCAATGAAATACTGATTAGCTACACAGGCATGTCTTTTAGATTTATTTACATTCTCTGCTATAAAATTATAGAAACTACTGTGGCCACAAAGTGAGAGATCAGTTTATATATGATTTTAATTAGAAGTGATCCCCCACTTTATATCCACATTATAATTTCTTGTTGAAAGGCTTAGAAAACGGATCAATCAGTGAGATACTGATATGCTACACAGTCATGTCTTTAACATTTATTTACATTCCCTGGAATATAAATGGATGGAAACTACAGCGACCACAAAGTGAGGGATCAGTTTAGATTTGAATATAGAATTGATCCCCCACTTTGTGTCCATATTATAATTTCTCGTTTGTTATTAAGCCGTAGAAAACGAATCAATCAATCAATGAAGAAAAAAAAAAACAAATTCATTTTTTCTATGTTGAAGACAAAACTCAGCCTTTGAAGGTTTACGGCGACATCACGTTGAAAATATTTTCTGGCTTTAAAATAAACTGCAAAGGGTTGATAAGTCATAAAAAACAAATCAATCAACCAATAAAACAAGTAATAATTAGTCTTTACGACCTTTTTTGGAGTCCTTACAATTTTTCTTTTGAGTTTTCTATCAACATTGTGATATCCGTGGATTTTATGGTGTAACGATTATGTCAGTCGATGATAAATTCGAAAAACATTTTATTTGTTGTTGTTCACAGGTCCACTCTGACCCGGGGGGTGGTAGCACCTTTTAGGGTCTCAGAGATTGAAAAAAAATTACAGCAATAGATTTTTGTAAAAAGAAATAAATTATTCAAGTTTTCAAGAAAATTAATTTTCTGCATTAAATAACCCATAAGGAGTTGATGCATCGCTAAACTTCCATTTGTCTAAAAAAAAAAAAAAAAAAAAAGACACCATTTTAACCGACTTAAAAACTTTTCCTAACAAAAGAATTCTGTTTAGTAACGAAGTCCAGTAAGCCCACGTGTAAAATTTCATGAAATATGACCTGATACTTTAGGGATAGAGGCATATAAAAATCATACAAGAGTGGTTCAATAATCCGTAGCTTGAAACGTAGTTATAAATTGAAATTTGATCTGAAATTTTCACTGTATATTGTTCGATCTATGTCAATTAAGTTCATTGACTAGGAAGGTGCTTACATTTAAAAAAAAATATTTGTTGCGTAAAATAAATGTTTATTTAATTTTTAGCCTACAGATTAAATAATGTACCTACCAACATAGAAAAGTTATTGAGACAACAAGAAGGCTATATATTAAAATGTGAATGTAAAAAACAAGTTTTATATAGCTACTTACGGGTATATAATTGTATTTATTTATGTATGTAGGCATTTCCAGTAGACTGTAGAGTACAGGGACTATATTTAGTCGTCCCCCCACGAGGGCGTCATGTGGCACAAGGCCGGTTTAACGTGGGCACTCCGAGCCCGCGGGCTCGGCCAAAAATATACCCATTGAACCCGTATAAACGGGTTCAGGGCCGGTCTACCTCCCCGAAGGAGACTCCGCCCTTCAGCGTAGCCTCCTTCGAGTTCCTCCCGCCCGAAAGCAGAGAGCTGAACCGAACTGTCGCTCAAGAGTAGAGTACAGGGACACTGCCTCACCATCCTAGGCATTGTTGCTCTGTTTTCTGTAACATGAAAGTTTTACACGGGGTATCTCATCAATAACCGTTTTGATTTTAGCGTTATACTTCTAGGTTGGTTGCAGTTGGGGTTAGTTTTATAACGTTTTCATGGCATTTGTGTGAATGCAGTGGCACCGATTGGAATCTGAAGTCGGCGAGACAATCTCTCTTTCCATGAAGATAACCTTTATGCCACGAACATATTCACTTGCATGTGACTAAAGCAACATAAATATCTGAGCTGTCCCGTGGCTAAAATGGATATTTCCTACTAGGATGAAGTAAATTTTTAGGTAAGCAAACCTTCCCTATCTGTAAACAGCACACTGAAGAAAACACAAAATCTGTTAGATAATTTGTTTTTGATTTTTTGAGGAATTGCCAGGAATCGATTTATTTGAACTCCTGTTCTTGTACTGATTATTACATAGATTAATATAGACATAATGTTTCGACCAATTACCATCCGAGTATCTTCAGGTGTTCATTATTTCACTGATATGCGATATGATTTTGTTTTTTTGTTTAACAGCATATAAACTAATTAGGATTCATTTAATACTGGAATTTAATTTTCTTGGGCGCTTTGAAGCAATAAAAATATGATATATGTTATTCTGCTTTCACAACTGAATAAATGGTAGATAATACTCAGCTTTTGCGCATATACATGTTTGTGTGGACATAATTACTAATGGTGATGTGTGGATTTTATGTTGTAGTTTTGTTGAAGTTATATTTTGGAATACAGTTTGATTTAAGAAATTGTCAGATATTATATGGATTAATGTCATCAAAGGTTGTTTGGGTGGTTGTCTTTGTTTAGCGGCACATCAACACCTCTATGGGTTATTTAATAACGAAATCGAAATGATCTGAACACAATTTTATGGCTTCAACAAAATGTATTTTGATCGCAATTCTATACCTTCAACTACAGATAAAATATATTGCTTGTTATTTTTCTATAAAATGTATTGTTGGTCATTTAATGTAAATATGAATTATTGGTCCTTTTTTATATAAAAATGTATTGCTGGTATTTTTACTATAAATATGTTTTTCCTTATATTTTCATAGTTTTTTTGTTTTTGGGGGGGTCACTATTTGCCCATAGCTAAGACCCTAACAGGTGCTACCACTCTGGTCAGTGTGTGACTGGGAGCAACAACAGTTAAGAGGTGTTTCCACTCACCTCAAAATATCCAATCTCCCAATCAGAGGCCTTGCTGCTGGATTTAGTTTATCGTCATACCCAGGACTTGATATGCGATATTTTATATGTGTCGATTACTATGTTATTTTCTTGCTGAAGATAGCGAGACGGTAGTTGGCCGAAACTTTGTGTCTGAAAATGTGTTTTTGAGATAAAGAATGTTCATCACTGCCTTCCTTTTCATTCGAACAATCCAGATCATTTTACGTGTTCTGCTCTTAACGTTTTGATCGTTGTATTTTCCGGTTTTCTTCGGGTGTTTTTCGTACTCAATAACCCTCTGAAGATTTTGAAACGGATTTTTATTACATTATTGGATTATCCAATATACATTATTGAATTATCATTATCCAAGTGTTGAATCCAGTTTACAAGAATCTAATCGTTTTGAATTATTTCACACCAAGCAAGGCGAGAATAACACTAAGATGCTAGAGAATGATAGAAAATGAAAACACGTTAGTGAGGAGAAATGACGATAAAAGACGGAAGATGGCGATTAATAGTGCATTTCAATTTTTGAAGATCCTACTTGACAAGAAAGCAAGAAGCCGGAAGAGAGTTCACCAAGTGCGAGAGAAGACACTATTAAAATAGAACTTACGGTTGCATTTAGCTATTTCAACATTAAAATAGTGAGATCTACTTACCAATCTAGGAGTGACAGAACTAACTTCAACTTGGAACTAATTTCAACTCGGAATTAATTTCAACACGGAATTAATTTCAACTCGATTAAAAATCAAAGTTATCAATTTCCGTGAATTCCTAAACAAAATACAATGAATCGGTGTTAATTTTTTAATTTAGCATTAAAAATCCTTAGTAGATAGCATAATTCAGAATTCATCTTTTCTAAAATTTTCATTATTTCCAAGTTGAATTTCAAGTTCCGAGTTGAAATTAGTTCCGGGTTGAAATTAATGCTCCCCCCCCCCAATCTAGTAATACGCTTAAATTCATGAGGTCAAGGTACCAAGGAGGAGAGCTCATTAAAACAATTGCCATGAAAATATTTATGCGAAAAGACACAGGAAAGCTACTTTACCGCGGTGGGAAAGTAACTGATGCCGAGATGCCAGATCAGGACTGATAACATTGCAGACCCTTGTTTGGATTTTATCAAGAATCTCAAAATATATAGCAGGAGCATCAGACTAGATGAAGCAGCAATATTCAATACACAGACGAATGGCAGATTTCTGGGTTTTAATTTTTTCCTGCTTTTGTATGTGCTTAGAGAAGTTCAACGAAATATTTTTGAAAAACCGTAAGATGATTTTAGCTGTAGTTTCACAGTCAAATTAAATCCATATTT